AGGGCAGGGGCGGGGGACCTTGTTTCTGCCGAGGGTCATCTGGCTAAAAACCTCATTGACGGCTGCCCTGCTCCAACATTTCATTAACTCGCCCTTAGTGTGACGGCTCTGGAGAGAGACGGGCTTTCTACATGGGTGAAGAGTGACAGCCTGGGAAACCCGCAGGGGCAGTTCCTCTGCCCTGCCCCAGGGGTCGCCGTGAGTCTGCACAGACTCGATGGCAGAGCGTGAGGCAGGCACTGCTTCTCTCTGGAGCAGTGACATCCGCTCAGACAGATGATTCCAAGGCCCTTCTGCAGCCTGATGAAGGAGCCCTGGTGGGCAGTGGTGACACGTCGACCTGTGATCTGCACTGTCGGCAGGTTGAACCATCAGCTGCTCCTCGGGAGAGACAGGGCCCTCTGCTCCTGTGAACAGTTTCTGTCTCGGAAACTCACTGGGGCAGGCCCACCCTGTCCTGGAGGCTCGCTGTGAGCCAGCATCGGCCTGAGCTTGGCAGTGAGCTTGGTTTGGAGCATCACAGGTTTTGTGGTCGGTCACTTGACTGTCGCAGCAATGCTGACACTCGAACGATGGCCCCTGGCTGACAGGAGACAGTTCAGACTGGTGGCCAGGGACCTCCTTTTCCTCCCCTGTCTTCTCCGCTCCCTGCCTGTCCATGGGCTGTGCCCTTCAGAGCTGCTTCTTGACCCCCTCTGGGCTGCCCCCTACCAGGCAGCCCATGGTGCGCCACACACACGGAGCCCGCCCTCTCTGCTTTACTGTGGGCCTTGTCCCCACAGAAGCCCCCCCGACCGTGGCGCAGACCTGGCGCCCGACCATCGGTCACTCCCCTGCCGCCCTGGAACCTCTGCTCCTCATTTTAAGGAGCTGGAGCGGGGACCTTGAGACCCAAGCCTCGCCCTTGAGGACAAGCTTATAAGTGTGCAGGCTGACGGGCGAGGGGGGAGCCCCTCTGGTGCTGGCTGCCAAGTCTGGAGCTGAGGATTGCCAGGTTGGGGGTTCAGGCCCACCTCTCTGTGGGACTCTGTTGCTGGATAGAATGACAGCCCGCCCAGGACCCCATGTGGGGCCTCAGAGTCAGACGCAAGCAGACAGCAGTGGTTTGGGGCTTGTCTTGCAGTGACCTTGCTGGAAAGGGCTTTGCAGTGGTTTTTGGTTTTGTCTCCGAGGGAGCCATGCACAGCCCCTCATGTTAGTAACCCAGGGGCGGCTGGCTCGTGGACTGGGGTGCTCAGCGGGATTAGGAGATGCCAGGCCTATCTGTCAGGGTCCTGCCACCCTCAGCCAGCTGGCCTTAGGAGACATGTTGAATGTCCACGTATCTGAAGGACACTGGGCTCACTGGCTTGCCCTGAACCCTTGCATCAAGGAGGGGAGGGGACCGTATGCACAGGGCCCTGGGACCCTCGGCGGAGTTGGGCAGACCACGTTTCCTCAGTGTGTTAGTCTGGGTAGACTAGAGAAACAAATTCATAAACACGCATATATAGAAGAAAGAGTTTTATATATAAGAGTAATCACACATTAAGAAAACATCCCAACCCAGTCCAAGGCCATAAGTCTGATATTAGTCCATATGTCCAATACCAACCTATAGAGTCCTCTTCAGACTCATGAAACATGCAATGAAGCCAAATGCAGGACGATCACAGGCCAGTGGGTAGAGAGTCTTTGGGTCCAGTGGCGTTGTGAGCGTCTCAGGGCCGGCAGGGGTCTGTGGCTTCTCCAGCTCCAGAGGTCTGGCTGCGTCCACGCGGCTGCTCTGGCTTCCTTCTGCCCCAGCTCAGAGGTGTGTGTGCTTGTGTTTCTCCTTAGACATAAGAGGTGTCCTGTGTTGTTGTTTCTAAATCAACTATTCTAAACTTTCCTCCGTGTCTTGTTCTTTTATTTCAGATCCATAAATGGACTAGGAAGAATTTTGGAAACACAAAGATCAAGGTACTTTTTCAAGGGCTGTGATTAACCCTTACCCTAGATAGTGGGAATGGCCGGTGTAAGTGTGAAGCGGTGGACCGAGGCTGCTTGGTCTGGATATAAGAACGACGCAGGCGCAGTCTGTTTTTGACGGGGCACTTCTCATGACTCTGGCGAGCAGGCCAGAACACAGCTGGGCGGTCAGGCGTTGTGGGACGCCTCTCCCACTGCCACGGTGCCCAGCTCCAGAGGCCGCTGGACAGAGATCCGAAAGTCTACGGTTTGGGATCCCGTCCTGGTGTGAGGCATTCACGTGGCTTCTGACATCGCAGGCTGGACTTCCCAGTGTGGCATTCTGGTTAGAAAGCACCCCCCTCTGGGAGCTGGCTATGTTGTGCTGGGGTCCCCTGAGCCCTCGGGTTGGGAAGGCCCCGAGAGTCTGCAGCAAGCACATGGAGAAGACAGCTTGCCTTGTATGCCGTCAGACCGAGGTGCAGGTGCAGCACCCAGCATCCGCTCGTGGCTTGGACTGAGGTGGCTAGTCCGGTGGGTGAGGGAAGGCCCATCAGTCCTGTGATGGAACCACGGGAACCCTCCTGAGACAAGCATCGCCAACCCAGGAAGCTGCTGTTTCCTTGCAGGCCCCTCCCTGCCTAGGAAGTCTGCTTTCCCACGCTGGCCCGTCTACCCGGCAGCTCCGGCACCCTCCAGGGACCCAGATCCTGTCCCCCGGTGATGTTCTTTGAGTGTGCAGAACAAAACACAGTCTCAGGGTTGTTGGGGCCAGGTTGCCCAACATGACTCGGTGCTCACAGGCTGCCCGAAGAGAAAGAGCAAGCGAGGACAGAGTCCCCAGCACAGCGCTCTGGGCTTTCCTCCCCTGGGCAGCGTGACACTCTCTGACTCCTTCCCACGACGCCCTGCTTCTGTCCTGTGTCCTCAGATTGCTCCAGTTGAAGACCCGAGAGACGGAGTCCTCCACAGCGCAGCCCCTGAACCTGGGACGTGTGTTCCCCAGGACCCCGTCCCTGTCTTCACACAGTGGGATGTGAACTTGATTGTGCTGTGCCTGCTCCCGTGCTGAGGGGCACCTGCAGGGAGTTGTAACTGTGCAGCCCTGTGAAGGGAGAAAGGAGACGTGTTTCATGCCACAGGCTTGGGCTTTTGGTAGAAATTTCTTCCTGGAACCCTCCAAAGGCTGGTGGCACAACAGAACACTCATGTGACGGAACAGCAGCGCACTGACTGGGAGCTGCCAGCGGTCCAGGCTGGATTCAGAAGACGGTGTGGAACAAGGATGTCAGACGGGCTTGGCTCAAAGAGGGAATACCTGCCGTTGGCAGCCCAACACGTAACCACTACGTCCCCAAGGCACACCTGCCGGCCCAACACGTAACCACTACGTCCCCGAGGCTCCTATGGAGTGGTTATGCGTTAGGCTGCTAACTGCTAGGTCAACCGTTTGAAGCCACCAGCTGCCCTGAGGGAGAAAGAGTTGCAGTTTGGAAACCCACAGGGGCACTTCTGCCCTGTCCTATAGGGTCACTGTGCTCTTCCCTGCGGCCTGATAAATGCTATAGGGTAAGGGAAGGTGGGGTCCCAGGAAACCTGGCCCCAAAGGTGCTGGGCCAGGACCTGTGTGCTGCCCCGCTGCCCTCGCGTCTCCTCATCTCTGGGGCAGGGGTGGTGGCTCGGAGCCGTTCCAGCTACTGACAACGGAGCTTGTTTCTGGTCTTGATGTTGGCTTGTGTGGCTACAAGTGTATTTGAGAAGCTCTAAAGTTTGTGTTGGGGTTGGGAAGACAACAGCAGGCGGGAACAGAGAGCCCCCTGAAGCTACTTGAACCCTCCACCAAGGCCCGCCGGACCCGCCTGCTTGCTGCTGACAGACTCGGCAAAAATGTCTGTGTACTGAGCGTGTTTGGTCCAAAAGTAGTCAGACGTGGTTTGGGTTGTGATTCGACTTGTGTTCATGTTCCCTGTTGATTTCAAAAACCAGCCCGGTGGCCCACATTGCTGTGAGCCGGTGTCGCCTCCCCACGCCTTACGCGGCCTCCTCTCTGCCGTGGCTTCTTCCTTTCAGAGTGGACCTGCGGGCTGTGCTAGACCTCCATGCCTTCGACGCCCTCTCGGGAATCAGGTGCGCTTCCTGCCCTCTGCCAACCCTGACTGGCATGTGCGCTCTGTCCACAGCGACAGGACGATCCACACAGCCGTCTCCCCCAAGGAGCCCTGGTGGCACAGTGGGTTATGCCTTGGGCTGTGAACTGTAAGGTCGGCCGTTCAGGCCCACCAGCCCGAATCTCTGCAGAAGCAAGATGAGGCGGTCTGCTCCCGTAAAGACAGATGGTCCCCCAAACCGTTGAGCGGGTCCCCTCTGCCCGGAGGGTGGCTGTGATTGGCTTTGGGTGCAGACAGAGCACCGTGCTGTGGTTCAGCTACGCACTGTGTGGTGTCAGCAGGTAACAGGGTACTTGAGGACAGGGTTCCTGCTGCCCCTAGATGAAGATCACCCCCCTGCCTCCTCAGGTTATTGGGTAGACTGTGCCAAGTTGTGCCAGGCCTGAGCTGAACTGTGCAGGCTGACAGGCCTGACCCCTGGGATGGCCAGGCCTGGGAGCCTCCGAGGCCGTACTGCCCACGTGTGCTTCTGAGCTGTGTTTATGCATCACTGGTCAATTGAAGAAGGAGCTCTTCGCTGAAACCCCCACCTCCACCTAACTCCAGACCCCTCCCCTCAGAAGCCTCCCCCAGTGCCAGCTGGGAAGGGTTTCATTTGACAGTCTCCCATAAGACATGCCACCACCCCTTTACCCCTCCAGTTTCTGCAGGGCCCACCTCCTTCCTAAGTTGCATGCCACACAGCCACCCCTCACTGCCCTCCCAGCCCGCCATGGCTGCAATAGCTTGGTCACTGCATGTGTCCTGTCCTCCTTCCTGTGTGTACCTGCTAGGACGGGCTGTGGACCGTTTGTGTTTTCTGTTAGCCAGTAACTAGGGCTGCGACGTGCTCCTCCGTAAGTTGCTGTCTCCCAGGAGTGACCAGCATTGCTTTCATATTCAGGAGCCTGGGGGCGGGTGGACTGAGGCGCACAGAAATGCCTATTATATGTTGGAGTTGGTATTAGGTGGGTTCTTTTAAGTCTCCGCATGTACAATCCACTGGAGAGCAGTGCCGGCAAAGCCCCGTTCTCCCCTTCTCTGTGCCCAGAGTGTGCGTGGGAGCATGTGTGCGTGCACGTTTTGTGGAAGCCAGGTGTTTGACCCTCTTGGGCCCCCCTGTCTCCATTTGGGCCCAGGGAGAGCCTGTGGCTTGGGGAGGATGGGCCAGCTCAGGCCAGGGGACCTGGTGGTGACAGCAGGCATCGGCCACCTGCATTTCTCACCTGGCGTCCATGCTCAGTTTGCAGAACAAGATGCTGCGTGTGGCCACCGCCCAACCTCACCTGGACCACGTAAGATACTTTGAAGAACGGCTTTCTCGCTTCTCCTTAAAGAGCTTGGCTGTGTTGGTGATGTGTCAGGATACTCTTTTAAACAGGTGTTCCTTAGCCCTGCTGGCGGATTTCAGCTTCGGGAGTGGGTGTGTCACACACACCCCTGCCCCTGCCTCTCCCCCAGGAGAAGGGCCCTGAGGCGTCTGGGTGCAGGGCACTCTGTCCTCTCACTGCCATCGAGTCAGCGCCCTGTGCGTTTCCGAGACTGGTACCGTGCTCAGGAATAGAAAGCCTAGTCTGGCTCCCATGGAGCCGCTGGTGGTTTTGAGCCGCCAACCATGCAATCACAGCCAAACTTAGGACCACGACACCACCAGGGAGCCACGCTTTGTCCTCAGACGTAGGGAGAGAGCTTGTGTGAGAGCAGAGGGCGTGTGGAGATTTCTGAGGGGCTGGCACCTCGGGCAGTGTCCGCACTCTCTCTCCTTCCTTGGCTCTTGCTCGCCCTGTCTGAGCAAGACGAGACGGAAGCCGGCCAGGAGTGCTGGCTGCACCACGCACGCACGCCTTCGGCTGTCCACGGCCACCCTGGCCTCCCGCCATCTGTTGCCATGTTCTGCTGCCCCCTTCCCCACCAAAGTGGGGCCAGCGGGGTTGGGGTGAGAGCTGTGGGCCCCTGGAGGAAGCCCTGGGATTCTGGTGTCTTCGCCTGGTCACTTGATGGCAGTGGTTCTCAACCTGTGGGTCACGACCCCTCTGGGGGCTGAACAACGCTTTCACAGGGGCCGCCGGATTCTTAACAGTAGCAAAATTACAGTTATGAAGTAGTAGCAAAATAATGTTATGGTTGGGGGTCGCCAGCACACGAAGAACTATTAAAGGGCCGTGGCATTAGGAAGGTTGAGAACCACTGCTTTATGGAATGAGTGTGCTCGTGTGCGCACGCACGTGCGCGTGCCTGCTGACCTTCCTGAGTCTGTTTCCTCTGGCTCTGAGGTGAGCGTCGCTGTCTTCCCCAGAGCAGGGCTAAGCAGAGTGCGAGCAGGCAAACCTGCCTCAGCCCTGGGACCCTGGGGGGAGGCTAGAGCACACACACGGGTGGGGTCACAGGCAGCCTTCCGAGCGGGTCTTCTGTCTGCGTAAGCAGGAAGCCTGTTAAGTGGGGTGCGGAGCGTGCTTTATAGAAGTGGTTGCTGGTGCCGCCCCAGGGCCACGGGCAGCCTGACTCTCCTGAGACGTGCATCTCCGGTTTCCATCTAACGCCTGTCCTTTGAGAACGTGCCTCTGACGTCTCTGATTTCAGAGTATTGTTACCGTCACATTCGAAGTGCCAGGGAACGCCCAGGAAGAAAGCCTAAATGTGTTCATCCAGGTGAGTGCCCCCTGGAGCCCCCTAGCGACACCCAGCAATGGGGGCGGGGGAGCGTCTCGCTGAATGTGCTGCCCACCCACACAGAACCTGCTGTGGGAGAAGACGGTGAGGAGCAAGGCCGGTCAGTGCATGGAGGTCATCCGACTGAAGGTGGGGACTGCCGCAGAGGATGCCCCTTCCTGCGCGCGCTGGAAACCCGCAGCCCTTCACCCCTCACAGCTTGGCTGCCTGGGACTTGTGTGCTGTCAAACTCTACGTGCTCAGCGGGGGGCGGGGACTGACGGGAACCTTGGGGGCAGCGAGTGCCTGGGAATGGGGGGACCGCTCCGAAGAGGGCTGCCCAGGGACTTTATCGAGAGAAACCAGTGTGCCCTGTGAGCGTGTTTCAAAGCTGGCCTCCCGAGTCTTAGGAAACAGTAATTAGAATCAAAGTCGTCTTTGCAGCAGCGTCTCTATGAATGTGTGTGTTGGACAGGAGCGCTGGTCAGTAGTTGTGGAAGGCAGGCTGTGAGGAGACAGGGAGATGAGATGAAGGGAAAGAGAAGCACCAGAGTGCACAGCCGGGGGAGTGCACGGTTGTGAAGCCTGTAGGCAAGGCCCCTGCTGCTCACTCGGGGAGCGCTTGTTGAGTGGGAGCTTAAGCTGCTGCGTGCGTCTTCCCTGCAAACATGGTAAAATCTTACTGAAAGCACAGCCCCGCCCTGGCGCACGCATGGAGTGTAGCTCAGAAATGAGCTTCATTAGCTAGAAAGCCAGGGTGGGGTAATTACTCATCTGTTAGCTCTGTGGGGTGCTTCTGCTCTCACGCAGACTCTGGGTTCTCTGTCCCTGGCACAGGGGCTGGTGTCCCTCAGAGACAAACCACACCAAGTGATCGTGCAGGGGGTGCATGAGCTCTATGACCTGGAGGAGACCCCGGTGAGCTGGGCCAGCAACAGCGCGAGGACAAACAGACTGGTCTTCATCGGTGAGTCCTGAGGGGCCCAAGAGGGCTGTGCATGCATGCCGTGCAGGGAGCAGCCGTGCAGGGAGCGGCCGAGGCCCCTCTTGGGCCCCCCTCGTTGATGACGCTGCTGTCGGAGCTCCTTCTGGGACACTGGCTTCCCTCCAGGCAGCTGCAGACACACGGTTAATCCCAGTGCCACTTCAGCTCTGGGCCCCGCTGCCTCCCTGCGCTGATGGGTTTGTGGTGCATTTCCGTGCTGAGGGCCGGGAGCGGCTCGTCCGCACTGTCCAGCCGTGCTGCTCTCTGCAGGCAGGAACCTGGACAAGGAGGTCCTTCAGCAGCTCTTCGCGACCACAGTGCTGGAAGCATGAGTGGCGGCACGGCTCAAGGAAGGTCATGCTTGTCTACGACTGCAGTTTTTCTTCTGGAGAGACCTGGACGTGTCCCCACTGGATGTCACCCCAGCACCCTGCCGCCCCAGTACTGCTGCTGTGAATCCCAGCGGGCCGTTTTAGGTCCTGACCCTAAACACTGCATCCAATACAGGGGCCCTGGACAGCTGTGCCACGATGGAGCGTCTTCAGAAGCCTGTTTCTGGCGGATGCGAAGCTCCTCTCCTGGCAGTCACTGATAGTGATGATGCTGATGGGACTCAGCACCGCCCCCTTCCCGTGGGACTTTCCCGGGCTGTGTAGACAATAAATGATTTTAAATGAGGCCAGTCTTGTGAAGTGACATGAAGTTTCTTGGGGCTTGCCCCCTGCATCGGAATTCGATGCCACCCCAGGTTCGTTTCAGAAGTACCAGGGCTCTCATTGGTGCCTGCAGGCTCCAAGTCATAGCAACCCGATGTTCAACGGAGTGACACCCTGCCCGGGCCTGCCCCATCCTCCCGGTAGCTGCTGTGGGGAAGCCAGCCCATCGTTGCAGCTGCTGGTCCGTCCATCGCACCAAGGGCCTTCCTCTTGGTTTGCCAGCCTCCACCAAGCCACGCCAACCCTCAGGTGTAGAATCAGCACCTACACTAATTAGCACCCTCCATCTTCATAAGGAGAGGGACAAACAGCCTCAGGCAGAGCTGTCCACGGGGCTGCAGGAGACGGTGGAACGAGGACATTTCACATGTGGGTCCCCCGGCTTAGTGTTTGCGGAAGTCAATGTCATGGGCCACGGACATGAAATAGTCCAAAAGGTTGTGGGGGAAATCCATGATCTTGTCACTCCCTTCTCCCGTGGGTTCTGGAAGTGAAGTGCCAGTGTGCCTGTGTGTCCATGAGTGATCCCCAAGTGTCAGTGCCTTGTTCTGTGGAGCTCCCGTATGTCCGTCAGCGTGTGTGTCTGTCTCTGTGTGTCTCACTGTGTGTCTGTCTCTGTGGGTATGAGTGTGTGTCTGTCTGTGTGTGTCTCTGGGTGGGTGTGAGTGTGTGTGTGTGTGTGTGTCTCTTCTGAGTTGCTCTGTTGCAAAGCTTCCAGAACCCACCCGAGGGGACCTCCTGTCCACCCCCGCCCCTTACCATCTTGGAGCCCCACAGCAACGCCAGGACCTCAGGCCAAGCAGCGGTTTGGAGGTGCTGTGTGTGTGTGTGGGGGGGTGGTGTCGAGAAGGCCCAGCACCCCCTGACGCAGGGATTCAATGAGAACATTAACAATCAGCGCACAGGGAACCCTGGATGGAAGTGGGTCATTAACCGGACACGGGACCATAGGGCGGTGAGCAGCCGATCTTCCTACTTGGCAGGGATTTGCTCAGTTTGTTGCGCGCGCGATTTGAGACGCCTTGGCCAAGCCGTGTCCCGCGAGCCTCGATTGGCCGGGTCAGCGGAGGCGCGAGCAGCATCTTGGGGGGCGGGTGAGTGAGAGGAGGAGGGGACCCTCCTGGAGTGCGGGGGGGTTGGAGGTAACGCCGGGGGCGGTCAGGGAATGAAGCATAAAGCTGTGTAAGGCAGCGTCGCGGAGAGGGAGCAGACCGGCCGCGCCAGGGAAGTCAGCACACGGAGTTGCCCGGCGGCCGGCTTCCTGGCGCGCGCTGGTTCCGCCCCGGCT